CCTACTTCTCTTGATACCTACATTGTATTATTGGCGTCTTTTCTCAAAAAGATGCAAAGTAAATATTCTTATGAGAATAAGCAAGCAAATAGGTAGGTATTAGTAGTAGGTAGGTACTGTCTTTCCTATAGATAATAGGTACAGGTTCAATGTAGATTTATAAATATTTTAAAGACATCTAATCTTTACTAATTCTTATCTATAAAATTAAATTTTAAGTGCTCATAAAATTGCACACAGTAGTACCTACTCTTTGTTTTACGATCTGTTTGGGATCTATACCGCCGTACCTATGTATATGTATGTACCTATAGCCCCCGAGAAAATATGTGTCCCCGTAATTTTTGCTATCGTGTCGTAAAATCCAATATGGCTGAACAATATATCATAACGGCACGTAAACGGCTGCAGTAACATTATTTTAGAATTTGAATAAGTGCCAGATAAGCCCACATTTGCATAATAATATAAATCGGGGTTAATGTCGTGTGCGTGCTCTCGCCGGTAAGGTAGGCAACTGGCAAGCGAGCGCACCACCGATAAGCTTATTCCGTCCAATTTGAATATTTATACTTTTTTGCTACTGTAATCTTGAAGGAAAATATTTGTCAGTGCTTTGAATATGAAGGGAACTATTTACTTAGAGGTAATTTGTAAAGATACTTGAACTTATAAGTAGGTAATTAATAAAATTTTAGATTTCTATAACTGATTTGGTGTATACCTACGCATGTATAGATAATAACAAAACACCAAATATTTTTTAAATTAATACAATACTTATTATCTGGTACGTAAGTAGGTACTTAAGTATGTTACTTTGTATCTAGGTAAAACCATACAAAAACATAAAATATTCATGAATCTTTATCAATTCTTTTAATTAACCATATTTGTTTACGGTGCAGATCTACGTAGGTATAAGAATCACTGAAGTGTTATTTATACCCAATTTGATAACAAAGTGAAATAACCTAAAGAAGAATCGAAGGCGTGTTGTCTGAGAAGCCCCGCCTCCCGATAAAACCATTGGCGTGTCAGGGGCGTCGTCTTTGAGCTTCGTTTCTTCATGAATGTAATTGACCAATAATAGATCAGAATTTCATACTTTCCAGTTGCATAGAAAGAGACCTTCAGAAGGAATGAGATGTCAGTTGTAAAATCTATAAACTACCGGGTATCTAGTAGCGAGCCTAAGTTTTTTTAGAAGTATTTACCCAGGTTTGGAATGTTTGCCTCTGCGGGTTTAACAGCAATACTTACTATCGTAGAGCACGATTCGGATATTCGTGTTCCTATTGTCTACCCTTTCGTAGTCATGTGTGAAAAATATACATAAATTTATTGAATCGCACCCATCTTGCCTTGTTACTCCGCACCGCATGTTTTAAATGTTAGTGAATCACGAAAAAAATTACTTTACTTTGTAGGTATCTAAGTATCTGTTATAGGGTGATAAAAATTTTACGAATGTTCGAGTTAAAAATACTAAAATATCAGAGGAATTCTTTATCTCCCTGCCACAAACAGAAAAATAAACTTATCGTTAGTGTTTTATCAACAATGCAACATTGCAATGTTATTGTAGGATATTTTTATTTTATAATATGTAGGTACATATGTGATAATAGGGACGTTTTTTAAATTTTAAATTGTAATTGTAATTATTATTTAATAATTTCAATGTGGTGAGGTTACCTACCTACTTATTCGGTTTCAAAGTTATGACTGTTTCATTGACTGACGTAGATAGGTAGGTACTTCTTTAAGATGATTATTATTAATTATTACAATTATTACAATTATTTATTCAATTATTCTTTTAACAATTATTTTTTTGTTGTTTATATGGATAAATGATATGAATATTGAAATTTTAATTTATACCTAATAATAATTTTATATTTATATATATTCCCATGAATATTTGGGGTGAGTAGGTATACCTATTAGGTATATATAATATTTATCTAGCTATATATTTAATCTAATGAAATTTAATGTAAACTTTGTAAACTGTAGTTTAAATATAGGTACCTATAAAATATAAATTACTTAAATACTTTTATTTTCAAATTTTATTTGAAATATCTACCAAGGTATATAGCCATACCAAATTGGGTACCTTTGCTTTAAAATGTTTTTCATCTCAACCTTATCATTAGTTATTGATCATCAGCGAATCAGATGTCTTTGTAATTAACATAAGTAAATATTCAAGTCGGGTATAGATAAATTGTTTCGATTATTAGTTTCTATACAGGTATATTTTGATTACTTATCAGAATACCTATGCTATAGGTATCTATGGAGGGCTCAGAAGCCCTCAGTGTATGTCACTTTTCGTGACGTATTGAAGGTTTCTTCTTAAAGTTGAAATGTATGAAATGTTATATCTCAATAAAAATAATTACCTATTAGTATCTTTACAGGAATCTTTATTTTATTACAACAAGTTTTACAAATACGTACTTATTTCGCCAATTTTCTCATTTTCTATATTCAGTGACTTACACCGATTGGCTTTTTTGAGCCCTTCATATATAGATACCTAAAAACCTAGGAGTTAAAATTTTAATCTTTGTATTTTTCGTCGGTAGGTGCCTACTTATCTACGCATTGATAAAGGTAAGTATTGTATGAATTTGAGAATTTTTAAACAAATTGTTAACTTTTGTTGCTGTTGCTGTTTTCTAAGTACCCAACATACTTAGGCATAGTCTTTCCGAAGTCAGTTGAACATGTATAAAAACGCCTAGCGATAAAATTTAATGAGTTTCATAGGCGTCCAAAGTTTTCTGCTAAAGGTAAAACATAATAATTTGTACCTAATACATAATGTGTAGAAAATTTCTATTATCTAAATATACCTATGTTGATTTGGCCAATAATATATTTTAATTATTTATGTCCTCAAACAATTTTATTATCTTGATGGTAAATTTTGATTATGACATCCAAAAACATTTACATTTTCATTAAGATCTATTACTGCTCGACAAGAACGCAATTTATCTTTAATCAACTCTAAAGTTGGTACTTTATTTTCTCTATAGGTATAAATTATAATATAATATTATAATAAGTATACTTATATGTAGTTTTAAATTTTCGTTTTCGCTTCCTCTTTACGTAGTGATCTATATCTAACACCTTGTTTAATCACACGAAAAATTGTGGACAGTGAAACTTTAGTTAATATGTGAATTCTATTTATAATTTCATTATCTGATTTTTCATTTTCTTCCTTTTTTAGACAATCGTAAATATTTGAAATGAGACGCTGACATTGGAACATGTAAATCTTTATTTTTAAATTCTAAATTTGTTTCATCAACAACCGGTTCTACAAATTCAATATTGTCTGGCGATATTTCGTTTCTTTCCCTTTCAAAAGGTCTCCAAAATGCCGTGTTGTAGTAATATTAGTAAACCAAATATCCCTCTTATTTCTCCCTGTCGCAATTGTAATATGAATGATTAATTGAAGGTGCCTATAATAAATTAAAATTACCTGAATCACACAAAATTCCGCATTGTAGCACTGCACTGTTATGCAGTTTGTCAACAACTGAAATTTATGGCTTAGTCGCCCAGTGCAGGTGTGTTTATGCGCTATTTGCCCGCGCGCGCATTCTTCAACTGGGGATATACATGTCTACCACCTCCACGATTCGTTCAACCACACCTGTATATGGCTAAATAAATATGGGAACGAGTATTTCAAATACTTATTTCAATGCCGAGTTCCAGCGTAGCGACCGAACCTGGTGCCTACATATTGCCTAGCTCTTTGGTCTTCAGTTGAGACCGGAAAGACTATATCAATCTGTAGATATTATAAATGTTACATTTTTTTAAACGGTTATGGACGTCTACTTTTATTATCAAGTATTTCATTGTATTATTTAACTATATTTATGTATAGTACGTAGGTAAAACAAGACAATCTTTACCCAGAGAACTTTGAAAAAAATTGAAAAATTGAACATTGAAAATATAAATAATAATATGTATATTAATAGAATATAACTTGTATCGAAATTATTTTAATTAAAAAATATGACCATTTCTGTTTGAAGTTGTTAAAGATTCTAAATCTGATCAGAATACCTACTCATGTGAATATTGTTTATTTTTGTTGTTTTAGGTAAAATATTATACTTATTCTCTGTTAATTTGTGCGTCAGCTGTAGTAATTTGAGCTTTAAAGATATATCCATCGCGAATATATACACTTAGTTGAAATATGTTAAGTCTCGATGTTTATTCTTGCAAAATATATTTGATAAAATATTTTATTTAATATTTTTTCATTTCAAGTTTCTTCTTCGATTTATCAAATTTTTCATTACAAGAAAAAAAGGAAAAAAACTCGTTTTTTTCCAATTTTTCCAGTTTTGTTTTTTCATATTGTTAAATCTCTACCGGGAACTATTTTCGGCGTATAACTCAATTATAACTCTATTAAGTATGGGATATATGTATACAAAATAAGTACGTTTTTTAAAATTAGTCGTATTTTTTCTTATTTCCGATTACCAAAAAAAAAAACAATGCTAAAACGTTAACGTTAAGCAGATAATAGCAGAAAATATGTGTGGCTCCAATAAGGGGCGCTGGAAACAAGATCACATCGCCAGCAGCAATAAAGCAAAACACTGAAAGCAAAAATGAAGCGTATCAGCTGTCATTTATAAAGACTACACCTCCGCGTAACTGTATCTCGTATGGAGGAGCCGGTAATACATCAATAAATCTATACCGGTTATCAATGATCTATTAACAGCCGGTCTTTTTCTAATCTCAGCGCACCGGCAAAATCTCTCTCTCTCTGGCCACAATCTAAGCGTAAGTTGGAAGGTAAGCAAATGCAGTGGGCAGAGCACAGGAGGGTTAAGCCTGCCTATCGTGTGAGCAGGAATAGCCAACCCGCTCGAGTAGCGCGCCCAGCGTTTACCTGAAAGGTAGCAACGCAGTCATTCAGTGTAGTGCTTGCAGTCGATGAGCTTCAACTTGTCGAGGAAGTCCACAAGGTCTCCTTGTACGGGTCATCGCGCTGTGAACTTGAACTGGACAGTGACGGGAAGCTGTGGTCTGTCGCGAATGGACTTTCTGGACCGACCTGTACGATGTTAATTTCGAACGGAAACACGTTGGGTGGCGGAAACGATTTTTCTAGTGTTGCTGCACTATCTGGGTGTTGTCCTGTTCCCGTAACTCCCTCGTCGCGATCGGCGATCATCAACTGGAAGATGGACTCCGTCGGATTGCCTACGCCAAATACGGCGCCTAGCGTCCTGCCCACGGCTATTCCTCTATCACCAACAGGTTCGATCTTCTTTTTTGCCTAATTGTTTCCATAATATCCATTAAAATTAAAATGTCAAACTGTAAGTTGTTTAAGAAGTGATTCCATTTGTGTAAAATATATATACCTATAAGTATTTTACAGGCAATAAATTGGACTCTTAACATCGGCGCCACCGCCATACTTAAACTTTTAAAATTTAGAGACACTATTCTCTTTTTGTCTTTCCTCAAAAATTGCTATCGATTAAGTAAGTATATGAAGTTAAAGTAGTTAAAGTGTATTTTCTTGTAAAATCTTTAATATTGTAGTATTGATGACTTAAGTCATCATCTAATACCTACTAAACAGATATGTACCTACCTATGTACGTATTATATTTTACCTATAATACTTCTGGCTTTTAAAACTTTAAAATTTTATTTTTAGGAGCAAGCACCTATATCTACATTTATAGAAAACCGATACGAACTGAAGTAAATATCATTTATGTGGGACCTCTCGTACTGGCGATTTTTATCGTCTACGTTGGGCATAGGAAACTTTGAAGTGCCTAATCTATTTTTATTTCAAATTGTAGAATTTAAGTAATTTAAAATTTAAATCAACTGAACTTTGTTAAAGAGAAAGAAATATACAGATTTAGATCTGAAAAGAAAATAAGGTCGTTAATACTTTTTAATAATTCCCAAATATTTTCTGTCCTCAATCTAAACAAACAAAAAAATAATGCAATATATTTTTTTGACAGACTAATTGTAAGTACATAAGAATCATACTAGAACATAGACAGTTACTAAGCGGCCGGCGGATTAACAAAGGATGTAGCATACATATCATAATATTTTAAATAAAATAAATAAACAAATGTAGATCAAATTATTTAGTCAAACTTTGCTTCGTTAAAAGTGTATCGGCTTCTATAAGTACCTACATATAGGTATGTAATAATTACTTCAATAAAATTTCATTCGGAAGGATTTTTGGGTAACCGAATATTTATATAAACTTAAATTTTACTTAAAGTTTAGATGATGCTAATAACCCCTTAGACAGTTTTTTGTTTCTTTCTACATATATATTTTTTTTATAAAGATTTTGAGAAAACCTAGAGTACATTCTACTCTATAGAATCATCAATATTTGTTATGACCGGGTTCAGTCAACACTTAGTTGTGTTCCAGTATCCATCATAGTCGATGAATATTTAGGACAGTGCGATTTTAATAGAAAATTTTAGAAACTGTGTTTTTGCTAAGAATTTAGAATTCATTTAAAGATTCGTATCCAATATTCGTCACGACAGTTTGTAAGAAATAACGGTGCTGACCAATACTTGATTAAAGAGGTGACAACAACCGATCATTTGTAGACGTAATAGCAAATAAATTCCTATTGAAGTCGATAATCGTAATCATAAAAAAATTGTTTTTTCGTTTTTTCATTTATGTAGGTAGGTATATAAATTGAGGCGAGCTTACTTTAAATACTACATACTTTAAAAATGTATTTGATCTGAAACTATTATAAAAATATACTCTGCTTAACAAAACGTAGACCTACAGAAAATATGCTTACCTACTGTGGCAACGTCTAAGAGAGAGAGCAAAATTATTTAAAAAAAAAGAGCAAGCTAAAATTTAAAAACTACCACAAATATAAGGAACAAAAACAAAGCGGGAATGATAAAAAAGGAACAAGACAAAAACTGTAAAAAAAAACGATATACCTACTTCAGTAGATACCTAAATGCATGAAAATACTAGATAGTTGATATAAAATATGCCAAGACCATAATGGTGTCAAACGCTACAAGATTTTCTTTATGTGGTTGTGTCAAAAAGTAAAAAGATATTGTAGCTACTTGCCCTTCTTGCATTGATTAAACTGGTTTTAAATTATTATTATTTTTATAATTTATTCCAGGTTTGTGCAATGTAACGAATACTTGTATTCGTACATCGTATTAAGTAGCGAAGTTTTGTAGGCCTAAGTACTAATAAAAATTTCTTACGAAGATTACTGGCATAAAATTGAACATTATGATAAAAATAAATTATTTGAATACACAATTTTATAATTTTGTAAAATAAACACAGTTAATATGCCTACTTAAGAAATTAGGGTCGAAATAACAATTATAAAACTTATTTCTGACAAGAAAAAAACTGTTTTAAAACATAATTACCCGAAAAATACATTTTTTTACGGCCACTATGCGCTTTTAGGCTAACTAGATAATTTATCTTAAAACTTAAAACACGACGAAACTATAATACCTACCTATTCGCAATTCACATAAGTAGTCGAGTCAGACTAATACACCCAAAAATGGACAGCAATTAGGTATCTATTTTGATGTTCAAAATACTGCAGTAGAAAAAAAAACTATTGTTTTATACAGTAATAATTACTTTAATTGGTGTAACTCATATTTACTTACTTAAGTTTCTTATGAATTTCTGAAGGCGTGAAACAGTGTGACCGTAGAAAACTATAATATGCAACTTGTGCAGAAATGCTAATTTCTCACCCGCCATTTGAATTGCAGCACTCACCTACGGCTCGAGCCGCAACTTTTCAAACTCATAATAGGAATTAGCACTTTTTTGCTCTTGTTACACAATGTACTATTTTAGTCACTTTTTACTAATCTCATATCATAAAAATTGAATAAAAATATTCATTCTCTTATTGGACTGGGCTATTATTAGGTAAACATGTAGGTATAAATTTTGTGCACCCGTAAAGGTTTTTACGTACGTAGGTAGATAAGTATGGAAAAGTAAATAGGTGACGTCAAATAACTTGGTAAGACCTATGAAAGTTACTTGCCAATTTGAAATACCTAGTTAGGTAATTAAAAATATTAGATTACATAATTTGAAAAAAACGGCGATATTATCTACTAAAAACTAGCGGATTAATTAAGAAAATTTTTAGGGAACAGGCGTTTTGAATTAGGCAAACTCTGAAGAAACTTTAAGTATTAAAGTTGTTTTTTTTCTTTTGAAACATAAACCTACCTACTTAAAATGTAATACTCAGTCATATATGCGCTTTCATACAGCAAAGTTTTTCACTACCTCCTTGGCGTGGTACTTAGGTACCCAACATTATTTTGCATGTAAATATTTGTATTCTTTTAAATAGGTGGAGCTCACAGTAACGTTTAACATTAGGTATCTGCTGTGAACAGTTTTTCTATTTCGGGCTTGAGTTTGCCACAATGTAAATTAACAAAATAATAAATAACCCCCCCCCATGCCTCAATCAGTCGATGGTTTTTCCTTGAAAGATTGAAAAAAGCAGAAAAATGATATATACAATATACGTTGACGTTTCGCAAATCAATGTTTTCGTTATCAAAACCTCGAATGACACTTTGTTTTAAAGTTAGTTTTGACAGCTTAAATCTTTTACATTATTACATACTTTTTAGAATTTGTAGCCAACAAAAGGAAAAGATGTAACTAGAAATAGAATAAACTTCATATTGTAAGTATTTCACCTAGGGAAACGGACAAATAAGCTAAACTGTCAAAACTAACCCCAGTAACATAAAGATAGTGTCTCAATATTGCCGCCATATAGGTAACATATGGAATTCAGGTCCAATATTTGGAAGATTTAATATCATATATGATATTGGTAAAAGATAGGCGTCCAATGTATACCTACAGTTAAAATAATTTCTATAGACGTCTAATCCTACAACCAGCAGATTTAAAAAATTAATATTCTGGTAATATTGTTCTCATATTGGGTTTATATTGTCTGTAATATACAAGGTGCGTTCCAAAATAAACAGGACTTTTTAAAAATAAGAACAAAAAGTTTTTTTGGCAAAACCGATTTATTTTATTCAAATTACGACTCCTTCCGACTCAATACAGCGATTTGCACGGTGTAAAAGCATGTCGAATGTGTGTTTTAGATCGTCGGCCGGAATGTCCTTCGGGATGTCGGTACAAGCTTTTTGGATGGCTTCTACGTCCACAAAAAGCTTTCCTTCCATCGGCAAATGCATTTTTCCGAAAAGGTAAAAATATCGCACGGTGGTGCCAAATCAGGCGAATACGGGGAGTGGGTGACAGTTAAAATGCGATTTTTAGTAAAAAACACTGGTGCAACAAACGCCAACTTCCTTCAGCGCGATATTCTGGCCGAATACGATGCACCAGATGCTTCAAAACGCCAGGTAAAAGCAAATGAACATTGTCTTCACTTTTCCAAAGGAGATTTTTTGGGTTTTGGCTCTTTTGGTGCTTGGTTTCTGGATCATATTGAAAACGCGACTTTCATTATCAATCACAATATTGTAATGGAAATTTTTGTCCATTTTGGCCTCCTTGATGATGTGCTTCGAATTTTGAATTCTGAGCAATTTTTGGTCGTCAGTCAACTTGTGCACACACTTTTCGGTAACCCAAATGCTCAGTTAAAATACGATAAATTAATGTTTTAGAGATGCTCAATTCCAATTCCATGAATTTCAATGAAGATTTTGGCTGATCTTTGATGAATTCACGTACGGCTTTGATGGAATCTGGTGGTGATAACGGATTTTGGTTGGCCAACAACCATTTTGACTCGTATACCACTCATCCATGGGATCATCACCATAAATTTGGTTTATGAATTGAAACGTGTGATTTTTGGTTACGTAATAGTATTTTCACAAAAAATAACTCTCGACTATCTTTTTATTCCAAGGGTTTATTTCCTTAATTTTATGTTTATATATACCTATATTTCTTATCACGCAGTATATTATTAATGGACAGTAAGGAAAAACCTTTGATATTGATTTATTTAGTCACACAACACAAAGCAATTTTAAAAAATTCCATAGTATTCCTATGTAAAAAATGAGTACTGCAGTGATTAAAGTTCTCAATAGTTTCACCTTCCTATTAATTTAAATGTTTGTGGTAGCTCATGCTATATACAGATACAAACATAATGTATACCTAAGTATATATTTTTTCCCGATTTTTATATGTCCGTGTCAATAGAAAACTCTGAATATGTGAATATACAATGCCAACCTACAACATATAGAACAACTTAATGATCTCAATTTTCTGCAAAACCATACTCTACTATACAAAGAAAATCTTGGCTTTCGCATAACTAGGTATAGTATAAACTAGTCCCCGTGGAATGTCGATTGGTATTAATGAAAGTCGAATACATAAATCAATTAAAAATGGTAATTAATTTAAGTTTTTGTATATTTATGAAACTTGCACAATGTTTGTTATAATTAATATTTATGTAGCGTCTAAATGAATGCCTTGCATTGAATTAAGTCCGCGAACCTGTAAATCTTGATAATTGATATCAATTAGCTTATATTACCTGCAACAAAAACTGATACAATTAAAATGTTCGAACAATTATAAAAACATCATGACAAATTACTTACCCATATATGCCTCGACTTCATTTCACATCCCAACGGCCTTATATTTTATTAATCTCTAAGTATTCCCCGGCAAATAATCGAAAACAAAAAAAGCTCAGCTTCTTGTTTACCAGCTTTTTGCTAACATGCCTAATTCTTGAAAGGTTATTCGGCTTCATATTTGTTCGTAAGTAAACATAGATTGATTTTATTCTCAGAAGACTGATTAATTTAAAACCGACACTTATTAAAAAAAAATAGCAAAGCTAATGTAACCAAAATGACACTATATTTTCAAATTGAATAATTCTTATGTATATAGGTATTCCTAAACTATTTGTATCCTGCATAAATAATGACGACTCCTCAAATGAATATTATAGTTTGACAAATATTTTTTATGATCTATTATTTTTATTTACATTTATTCTATGCTTAAATAGTTAACGAACATTTTTTTTGGGGAACATATTTTTATTAATAGATATCTACGTATGGAAAATATTTAAAGAATTAGTCATAATTGGATTTTTTTAATTGTGGTAGGTAGGTAGGTGTTTGTTACACTATTGGAAAAAATGTATATAAATATAAATACAAAAAAAAAAATGTTTTATAAAATAAATAATTCCCCTGAAAATAATTTAAAAAGTTGGAACAATTAAAATACGTACCTACAATTTAGCATTAGGTATATTGAATGCCTACCTACTATTACTTAGGTACTTTAATATGGCTTATATATCAATAATTTACATAAATAATTAAAAAATAATAATTTCTAGTTTTTAATTTCAAAACGCGGATATCACATGTTGAAATAAAAAATCTCATATAGGAATAGGTAAGTATCTTATCTATTTTAAGGGGGCAATCGTTGCGTCTTCAAGGTCAAATGCCATCCATATCCAACTATTTTTACCTATTGAGAATTTTGATTTTATTCCAATTTTTTGGGAGGTACCTACGCGTCTACCTGTAATATAATACCTATGCATTTGACACACTTTATATACCATTACTTTGAAATAAAACATCCCACAGTGTATTACTCCCTACGGAGTAACTACCTGCAAACAGGTGTATACCAAGGCGCAATCCTCCCTTTCCTTTATGCTCATTATGCGAGATGTAATCGATATACTACAAATTAACACGAGGACATATGTTTGTTACCGTAAACAAGACGTTTCAACAGATTTTATTAAATGCGCCAACCGCAGATGGTACCCACCGGTAATGAATTCAAATTTATTTTATGAAAGAAAGCCTCTGCGTAATTGCGATCTTTAAAAAGCAATATTTTATAAAGTGGTTTATGTAGATTGAGCTGGTCTTGTTTTTGGTTAATATCGCAATTAATATTCAATACGCGCCGGTATTAAGGCCGAAAATTGTCTCTTGATTGTGGCAAAAACAGCTATATTATACCGGTCAGTTATGGCAGCAGTCCTTTTGGTGTAACTGCTTTTTGTAGTGTTATTTATTAAGCGCAAATGTGGTTTAATGTATCAAAATGCACATTATTAATATTAATAAAAATAATATTGATGATAATAATAATAATAATCAATGCATTCCAAACTGAATTATGGGATAAACAAGCCAAAATATTTGCAACTGGATGATATACTTACATACGTAATAAGTAATTAAAATGTGTCATGAAATATTCTATTGTTTGATAGCTATAAAAAGTCAAGTTTTTCTAAATATTGTAGTATCTAATAGATAATAATAAAAATGTATACGATTTTAAATTTTATTCGTTTTCGTTTCAGTATCTTCTGCTTCCATAGGGAACTCGATAGCGGTGACTCCTTCGTCAACAGTGCCTTCATCTTTAGGACCCGCAGCTTTAAGGGAACTTTACGGAAACACAGGCGCCAATCCTGGTCATCCTTTGGCTTCTTTAGTATCCCAACAGAGATTTTTAGAGCTCTCTAGGTTTGGATTAAGGCACTATGATCTAGCTCAGCATATGCTCACCCAGCAAGGAGCTGTTACCAAATTACTGGGTAAGAGTTTTATATACTTAGTTATAGTTTTATAAACTTTTAAAATAAATATATCAACTGAAATAAGATTCACGAATCGTTTACTCGAGAACAAAATCTTATGAAAATGGGCAAATAGGTAGGTATAGCCTTTAAAATAACGCCACTCAAAACAAAAAAAATCAATATGTTATATATTAAATAGTTTAATTTCACATAAATTCGGTAAGCCTTATAATTAAATACATATTATATTATTATAAATTTCGATAATACTAATTTAACAAAGTTATGAAACATATTGATACTATACCTACTTATTTATAAAAACCAAAATTATTCTGAAATTATTACAAAAAAAGTGATAAATTCAGTGACGCCCAGTTCAATTTATTAAATAAGAAAATGTGAAAATCACAATAGAAAAGGTGCCAAACCATTATACCAGAATAAACTAGTTGAGGAGAATGTGAATGTTATTCATATTTACTTAATTACATTAATCGACAATGAGTATTAATTTTCTCTTACAATTTATTTTACTATACTTAATTGCATGTAGTAACCCGTACTAAGTATATTGAAAATTTAGTTAGTCTATTATTATGTGCAACGTTACGGTATATCTTTTTAATATAACTAAATTTGGACAATAAATCACGTCTACTGAAATTTATGAGTTGGTTTTCACGCTAACAGCCTTGGCTTTGGTTTTATTCAGTGATAATAGAAAATGTGTAGCGACTATATCAAACGATTCAAGGGATCTTCTGTAAGTGCTTGTCTGAATTTTCACTCGAATGTTTAAATAAAGAAAATATATTCCTTTATTTTTGGAGAAAAATTATTGCGGAGTATTTAATTTACATTTTTCAAATAACAAAGGAGTCCAATAAAATTTTATCCAAAAAATTATACCTTCAAATCGACGTGGCAAGATAAAGTGATAGAGATCATTGACCACCACTATACCGAACAGTTGGCTTATACGAACTTTTTTATTCGATCTTGATTGCCTTATTGTTATCTATGGGGCAAAATGTAGCTATAAATTCAGGCTTAATTGTTGGTGAAAAGCGGCTACAATTTATGCGGCCTGGTTACGAGAATTTATATCTATAATTCGTAATAAATGGTAGGATTTGGATGTAATCCGGAGATTTGTTACAGGTTTTAATTACATATCGCCTGGCTCGATTAAGATCTTTGTTTTTTACGGGTGCCCTTGATAACCATCGGTTTAATCGTGGGCATTTTAAATGCGAGAATTATTTGAACACAACCATTAATTAGATCAGGCAAATCCAACTTCTCCTTCTATCTGTCAGACTAATCTTAAATGTAGTACCTATCTACTTATCTTCGATATAAGCGTGTGCTTTATTATGTACCTAAATAAGCCTGAATTGCCGACATCAGCAAATGCAGAAAAAAAAATAGTATCTAAATATGAATTTGGGTAGGTAGGTATACATACCTAATGACATATTTAGGTAGGTATGTCTCTATTCATAATTTTACACAAATGCATTTCAACTATTTCATTTCTTATACTGCAATTATTACTTTTTTGTAATTCAAATTTTAAGCGAGTCGTTCTTCAGTTTTGTCCATACAAATTGTTACGTATCTGCCTAGTTTCAACTTTATAAATCGGACAATGGTGTTTTATATGCAAATCGTCGCGTAATAGTAAATGTAGGAGATATCGCAGTCTCGATCCGAATATGAAATATTGCAAAGAATAACAGACTATTATAATTTTTTAATTCGTTCGTTCGCGTATCTGGTCTTCCGCTGTTTGTTCTGAAGCAAACCATGACACGCTTCGAGAGATGCAAATTACTTTGATCGTTCGCAATTTTTCGTGATTATCGATAGATAACGTGGCCAATAGCTTACACGAGAGATGGTGAAATATGGTTGTTTCTAAACTAAAATATATTAAATCAATAGCTAAGTTGAAGTTAATACTTATATGAAAATAACATACCTAACATCAAATACATTTTCTATGAACGTCACAGATTTCTAGACAAGATGTGAATTTAACGGCTCGTCAAAATAATTTACAAAATGCCATAATTTTTTATCAGTAATAGCGTCCATTTGGTTAAATAGTTATAATTTAGTATAATGCCTAGTCCAAGTCTACATATTTTTTTCGCGTGTAAAAACTGTTAACTCTTGTGCAAAAAATACAAATGCATATGTAGGTAGGTATTTCTGTTTTTCATTTAGGATGGAAAAAACATTAGTTTCAAACTGAATCATTTGTCCGGAAATAACTTATAAATAAAAAATATACTTTTCCTGAAATTAAAAATAACGGAATCACTTGCGAAATATTTGTTTTTTGTCATAAGTAATTTCCATTTTGTTTCATTTCAAAATATTGATTAGAACCCCAGAAATTTTGAAAAAACTGTTTTGGGGGGCGAACTTTGAGGGTGTATTTCACCCCGTAAATATGTTTTTCCGCCGATAAAACAAATACGTGTCACAAACAAAATTCATTAGTTTTTTTGCTTATGATTTTTTTAAATTTCTGAAATCTTCCCTTAATTTCTAGCCTCCCTAACTCTGTTAATTTTAATAGTAAAAGAAAAAGTCAAGATGCCAATTTTTTTTTAGAATTGTATGCTTTATAACTTTTATAAGAAACTTTTTTTTCTAGCCCTTGTCCCTTTTGAGTTATCTTGAAAAACTCCTTTGTTTTATCTTTTTTCACCCTTGGCCGGGGGTTGAACAAAAAATTACTCTCACTTATTGTTATAATATACCTCAAACTAACTCACATCAAAAATTCAGGCAAGTTGACTAAAATTTCGATTTAAAGCCTTATTTAATTGGACTAATAATGTTATTTAGCGAATGCAATTATGAGATCGATATAGAAGACTAAATATTTATACTGATTATTATTCACTAGACTATAGAGGAAATATTTTCTTGAAATATGTTGCACTAGTCCATTTCGAAAGCAGGTTAATGGGCATTTGTGTGGATTATAACCAGGGAAACAAATTTACAACGAGAAGGACGTGGGCAATGCAACATAAACCGGATATTGGTAAATTTAACACATACCACTTTATTATTATTTTCACAAAATTTATACAGGTATAATAATAATAAATCAGCCGTGCAAAAAATTGTAAAACGTATTTTTTTTTGTTCCCCAACAAACTGTATTGCTATAAAAGTAATCGGAACTACAAATTCTACGTGCTCTGCTTAAAGGCGCTTTTATAACAACCGTGGAAAGTATTCCACGATTTAGTTAATGATTAAACAATATGGCTTAAACCATAACAAATTACTGGTAATTGGTATTTCGTCATTTCTCCTGACTAGTTCTCACTTTGTAAATGCAAACAATTTTGTTCCCCAAAAATTTTCAACGGAGCCTGATATACTTAACAAAAATTGTAGATGTAATAAAAAATACACTTTACTTATTTGATTTCCGGTATTATAGATTTTGTTTAAATGTTTTTATTTACTGGTGAAAATCAATTATTATACGTTATTCGTACGAAGATCATGACATTTAAATATTACAAAATGTTTTTTTTGAGAAAAATAGTAACTATACTACATTTTCAATAAATTCTCAAGAAAAAACGTCGGTTTCTACTTACGATTCTCTTTAGTGGTAACCATAGAATATTATATAAAATACTGTCAAAAAGTATTGGAAAGTAGTAGATACGGTACTTGCCAATTTTTATGTCAATCCGGTTTTATCTATAGACATTAGAAAATAATATCTTGAACTTTATCGACGTATTAAATAAAGTAGTAAAGTATTTTTGTCTCTACACCCAGTTGTACTTACCTCCTTATAAATATCTAATAGGCTCATATCTACTGAAACACTTATAGCATTTTTGTCGAATGTATGAGATTAGTTTATTATTATTATTATTACTATTATTATTATTATTATTGTTATTATTATTACACACACTATCTATGAATTGTATTTTGCAATGAAATTTCTCATAGCCCAACACAAATGTATATCTAACATAGGTATATTAAATGGTTATGGACTTAGAATTAGACGATATTAAATCCTCCACGACACCTGTTTATGACCACCCTAGAAGTGTTCCTGCGTCTTCGTCATCATTCAAAAATAACCGTAGACAACCGTATAGTTGGCTTGAAATGTCGTAACCGTCGGTCCCATATCCAATTAATTTTTTTGTTGCTTATCACGAGATCAATTATCACTTTAAGCTAAATTTGAAGTTTTTTAGTTGCCGAGTAATAGTCATAGTGTTACGTTACATTATTACGAAATTCAATTCTAGAGCATTTTGAGGTGTCTTGAGAGTAGTGTCGAATTTTTGCAGAAAAAATTATAGTTTTTGCTTTGCATCTATACTAGATATCTATACAATATATAATCGTCTGAAAGTGCAGTTAATTTGGTTCTTTAAATTTTTAAAATATCAATTTGTGAGTAAACAAAATATTTAATGTTTTTTCCATGATTTAATAAAAGAAATTGTTAGGTAGTTCACTTCCAAGATGGATATTTTTTAATTTATATTCATTTACCTAATGTTAAGAGATATATGCAAGTCTCCGCAGGGGGTCAATTTTCTTGACAACTAGCTTTCATGGAAATTCCTAATACTAATAGGCTCCGTTAGTAACCTAAATTGTTAATTATTTTTGGCTAATGAATAACGGTATCCTGGAAAATATTATAATTAAATGATAAGTAAGTATTATAGAGTAATGAGTTATTCGATTATAACTTAAAACGTTATAACGTAAAGCTAATGAATTCAACCAATTAGGTAATACCTACTTAAAAAAATATTGTCAGGATTAAATTACTTACATCATTCAATACATACTTACTACTAGTAGGTACACATACTTATCTTACAGTGTACAAAAACACAATGGGCTTCAAAATACATACATATATGCTAAAATAACTGAAGCCTATGAGTATTTTTTTTTATTTTAATTTTGCTTTATTAATCTTAATGATATTT